AGTTGCTCTCAGCTCGATTGGCGCAATCTTGTATTCTATCATTCTTGATGTATCACCATTCGGCCGCGTAGAGTATTCGTCAAAGCTGCCCTCACGGAAGCACCAGAAAACTTCGTGGCCCTGCTCAGCTACTAGCCCAGTTTTATTTATAAGGTCTATAGATTTATTCAGTCTGATTGTTTTGCGGTAAAAGTCTTTTCTAAAATTGTTCGCCTTCCCTGATTGACCATTTCCCATCACAGCTGGCGGAATATCATACTTGAGTATTGTGCTTTTATCTGGTGCACTATTGGCCAAGCCAAACGCTTTGGTTTTTGTTATAAAATTGACTCGTCTTATATTATGCAATGCTGCAGCGCGAGGCATAACAGCTAAAACATTGGTGTCGCCATCATTCAGTATTGTTATCTGATTAATTCTGGTTTTAATGCTTCCGCCTGCCTGCAATAACCATTAAATACACCAGTCGCCACTTTACGAAAAGCCCCACCCCCTCCTTGGGGACCTCCCACAGACCCCTAGGGAACCGTTTGAAAATGGGGTAAAAACGGCATTTTCCGAGGCAAACTGAGCAGTTTGAAGTGGAATATAACCCAACTAACAGAATCTGTGGGGTTTTTAAATAAAAGAAGTTATCCCAAGGTGGTTATCAGGCGAATAAAGGAGGGATAAACACCTTTCGCAGAGAACACCTTTGTGCGTAGGCGGCCTTCGGCCGCACTTAGGGATTATAACCCTCAGGCAGTAGAATTCTCCTTTCTGTGTAGCCAAAGAAGACACGAAATGAAGCATACTTGAACAAGTACCAACAATGTTAGTAGTAACTTTTTGCTAAACGTTGCTCTTCCTGCGGCTGCGGGTGGATTTTGAGGCTCCGGCATCCCGATGCCAAAAAGGGATGCAGCAGTTCCTGGTGGAAATTGATGGTTTGTTCCGATGCGAAATGATGCATTTCCTCCGCTGCGTTGAAACATTTATCATTTGTGGTTCATAAGTTGTTAAACACAAGCCAAAAAACTTTCAACATGCATATGTATGTAGTCTTAACTAAAAAAAATTTAATATAAATTACGCGATTTTTAGTTTGCAATGCTTTCTTACGGCGACTAAATAGAAAACACCCACGAAAATTTTCTTTTCCAGTCTGCGAATAAGATGTGCTAT